TAATTAAATTGCTCAAATTTTTTACATATTTTACACCAATGGCCAGTATTTCATAAATAAACGATAATAATCATTATCATTTCAATTATTAATTAAAGATAATATAACAATTTTTGCCCTTTTTTCGCGTACTCGTCTCAATTAATGATGAAGTTAAATAACTTAATAAGCGAGACTCATCCTAGTATTGCTGCATATTAAACCTCTTCTGCCATAGACGAATGCACTTTGTCGATTATCTTGTCTGTGTATGAACTCTCACGTATGTTTATAATCGGGCAGTGGTGAAAAGTATTTCTGCAGAAATGTGAAAATCTAGATGATTTCAAGCACTCAAAATGAAAAATGAACTTTCGAAATGCAACACGACTAATTGTATTTCTATTCTTTTTTCATTACACACACAGACGCACGCACGCACACACACACACACACACACATATATATATATATATATATATATATATATATATATATATAGAGAGAGAGAGAGAGAGAGAAAATGAGAAAAGAGTCAAGTTTCGGAATATCCGATAACGTCATATTAATGCGTGACACGGATCATTTAACAAAAAATTAAACAAGCTTGAATAAAAAATTTATAAAATAATTTTAATAAAAATAAAAATAAGTTTTTTTATTCATAATTTAATCATTTTAGTTGTTAGATACATATTTGTAATATTTTCTTTAATATGATAATAATATATCCATTTAAAGGCATTCTTCTCTTTGTTTTTGTATTCGTATTATTTTTTTACTCAGTTTTTATTTATTATTTTTATTTTTATTCAAGTTTTATGATAATTTACATATTAATATTATACTATAAATATTACTCTTAATTAGTTCGATTGTATTTTTGATAATTAGATGTATATTATTTATATTGAAATTCATTGTTAGTCTTAAATTGTGGGCCAATTATAGTTTTATCAAAAATTTAAATCTACAATTATTTAACAAATAATGTGTTTCAATTAGTAAAATAATTATAAAATATTAATTTTATTACCTTTGCTTCAAAGTTAAATTTATTTATTTCAATTATCAATGTAGATGGCGACTTTGAAATTCCAATATCGATTTAAATCCACTGAATATGATTTTGTAATACTTATAAGCAAATAAAAGGAGATAACATAAACAATAAATTGCAATAAATAATTGCATTTTATTATTATTAATATAAGAAATTTTATGACAATTTACCCAATAATAAAAGAACTTATGAATCCAATAATAATTCTACAAAAGGCAAAAAGTCTTAAACAATAGTTTAGTACAGCAGTACTATAGAATAACAAATATGGATTATTTATATAAAATATATTTTAATGCCATTACAATTATAAGTAAACATAAAAATAATATACTCGTATTTTATTGAAAACTTTGATAGAATTTGAGAGAGAAAAAATTGTTTAAACGATAAAACATTGAGTCATGTGAGTTTTATTTATTTTTGATAGTATATTACCAATTAGCTGTGGCAGTAATATTTTCAACCACTTTTAGCTAGTTTTATTTTTTAAATATAATAAAAATATTGACAAAGAGAATGAGTATTTAGTTTAGAATTTTTATTCGAATTTATAGATTTTATTTAGTATCGTATTAGATATTTGAGTAAAAAAAAAAAAAAGAAAATCAGGTGACGGCCGAACGAGCGAAACGATATTGGCAGTGTCAGATACTTTCCTTTCGACGAAAAGAGGATTTTTGAAACAGCAGCAGTACCATACTAACGAAAATGGCATGTCGCTGTTGCACGCCAGATGACGAGATCAAATGAGATTGGGCAACCGGGTAAACGACAGACTATACAATACACACACTGATCCGATACGGACACTTATGCATATAGATATATATGTTGTTTTATATAACTTGTATATATATATATATACAAGATTTTTTTTTTTTTTTTTTTTTTTTTTTTTCCCCCAAAAAAAATTTTTCCCACAAATGAATATATGAATTGGTACGTGTGCAAGAGCACGCATACGTACGTAATTGTAGGAGGCAATAAATATCCAGCAAAACACTGTCAACCATCTGCTTTTCAAAGATAATTGCCTTACTACTCTATTACGATGTCGCTGTTGTCGGTGCAAGCCAGGTTGATTGCACGGCAAATAGGAAGGAAAGCAAAGGTGTACTCCTATCACGTTCACCCATGAAATTCTTGCCTACTACCTGTTCTTTTATGGCATATTATGAACGAAAATTCTTCCTGTATTACGCTGCTGTCGAATATTCTGCTCTCATTTTTATTTTGTATTACTGATATTGAAACGTAGCAAACTTTATTAAAAATGTCTGCGAACAAATATTATATGAAGAAATATTTGCATAATGTGATGGAATACACGTGCATATTCATTAATATAGTGTATAGATGGAAATATATATCGTTATGCTGCATTTCGTTACTTCATTCCAACTTTCATATCGACAATTAGTTATTTTGCTGATCAAAATTTCGAATATGTATGGAAGAAATATTTAAAGAATTTCTTACGTAAGACTTGAATAAGTTCTTGAGAAAGACTGTATCATCTTAATTAATAATACATATTTTTGAAACAGACGAATATTTAATTTATCAAAATTTTTGTGTTTGATCATTTGCCAACATCATTTTGCACACTTAAATCTATCGTAATCCCGACATTATATAATGATAATAATTTTCTTTTATTTTATTTCTAAAAAGAAAAAATTCAAGTAAAGTAAATGTACCGATAAATCGATGCGATGATTCTTGATTAAAAGATGACGTTTATATTTCAAATTGGAATCAAATGGATTATAATAGGTTAAAGGAAAAAGGAGAGATTAAATTTTTCACATACACACTCGTTATTTACGATATTATAGCATAAAGTTTCCCCGTAAGCAGGGCATAAAATTAAATTAAAAAACTTATAAGCTATTTAAATTTCCTTTCACGCCTATTGTTGATAATTCAAAATTTATATTGTTGAATGGACAAAGCTGGATTTTGTAAGAAATGAAATTTACTGATGATTTATCGATTATTGCTATCTCATTATGTAGTTGTGCCTTGGAGATTGAAAAACCAGAGCCCAGGTATACGTATATGGGTAGGCGCCTACACATTTATTAATTCGAAACGTTACATGGGGAGCGCAGGTAAAAAGCATTTGTCTCGATCACTCGTCCCCTTCTTCTTTCCTTTCGTGTCTAACACATAGCGTTTATTGCGTTAGTTTGCCAGAGTTTCCGAAAAAATAAAGGTAAAAAAGGAAAGGAGGTGAGAAATACCTCTGTTCAGTCTCCGAGGGCACGAGTAGATGAGTTTTCGCAACCAGACTTTGCTTCTCACTCTCCCCTACTCTCAGTATCTGTCATTCCCTCTTTATTTATTTCTCTTTCTTCTTTCTACTATCTTCTTATCAGCTTGATTTTGTTAAAAAGTTTCGCGAGCTTAATTGAATCGCGCCTAATTCAGTTTTTTACGCTTCGTGAAAGGCCAGTTAAGACTCGTCTAGTATTATTAAACAGAAAAGTAAATAAACTGAGGATAGTTGAATTAAAAACGAGATTCAATGAGAAAATAAAGAAACCATGCAATCGCAGCTACTTACGTTTATGGAATACCCATTTCAACGAATTATGCAAGATATTCATTATATTTTTCTAATATAAATGTCAAAAGATGCGACTAATGGAAAAAAAAAAACATAAATATATTGTTGTATAATTTCATATTTCTCTACTGAAATTAATACTAATTAGCATGTGCTAATGTTAATTATGTGTTAATTAATAGTAAAAAAAAATCTATAAGTAAATGGAACATTATTTTTATATAATTTAAGAATTATTCTGTTTTTAAAACACTTTTTCAATTCATTTCACATACTAATATCAAATGCTTTAAATATTTTAATTATATAAATTTACTAATAATATAAAAATGTATTTACTATTATAGTTGGATGAATGACAATATATAATATTTGTCTGTGATTTTTTATGTAATTATTAACAAACGTGAGAAAGGCGAAAATATTCTTTAATAAATGGAAAAGCTTTCTATGAAACAAAAAATTTATCTATTATCATTATATATGTCAATGTAATATGTAATTTTGTAGTTTATAAAGATTACCAGTGCCACTTGTCTCCCTATTGTATGTAATTTGATATCTTGTCTGGCATTTTTTCCTTAAAAAATTATACAAAAAGATACGTAATAGATAAATTAAATGAATAGAATACAAAATCGTTTGTAAAGAATTAGCGAACTTTGCGGAAACGTCAGAAACTGATACTCATAGAGGATCCAGAACATTAATCAGAGATCTCCATACGCACATTGTTGATACGTAACAGCTTTCTTCACGTTATTGTTTGCGTAGCGCGCGTACATTTCACGAATATAAAGAAATAAATAAAATAAAATAAAAAAATAGACAACCATAACACGCTTACTCGTAGTTAGGCAAATAAAAATATATGGTAAATGGAAAGACTAAACATTTACGTGAAAAAATAGTATTACAGTTGTAATATAATAGCAATAGCAGCACTCCAGGAGTAGGGATAATAATATTAGCTGCCTTGATTGTAGTAGTGAAATGAGAAAATTTAGCAATGTAGTGTAGCAATCTGTTTATGTTAATTTCCATTTGATATACGGGAGTCATTATTATTTGAGGCGCTACGCAAAAATAGCCAAGAAAGTAGACGAATAAAGTAAAAAATTATGGCAGAGATGTTATTTACTCGTGTGTAGAATTTCAGATGGACCTTTGTCATACTAATTTAGAACGCACTTCGGCTTCATTTCATGAACCTCCTTTACTTTCTCACTGCCTACCACTATACTTTCCTTCACTTCTAATTATGTAGGTTTCTTTATTGCCAATATAGTTTCTAGTATTTCCTTTGCGAAGCTTTAATTACCCAAAGATTTACGAAGTTGTTATTTATTTATTTATTTTTTTTTTTTCATTCTTCCGTTACAGTCTGCAACCGCTTTGCCAGTGGAGTTCTTTCCATGATCGGTGCAGTAAATCCAGACTCTTTCGACATTCTGCACTCGTACAGCAACACCTTCCAAATGCCATTCGTCACTCCATGGTTTCCAGAGAAGGTAACAATTAAATTTATTTTTGGATTTTCTATTTTTAACTAGTGGCGTTTATTATAATTAACCCAATCGTGTGATCGTTCAAGCCACCGAGATGGTTAATATTTGTAACAGTAAGTAATCGAACAAGGCAATTAACATTAATGTTCACAGGATTATACATAATTACATTATAATTATTAATTAACATGTGAAATTTCAAACTAGTTTTTTCATTTTTTTATATCTATATAATAATCATGATTTATGTATAATTTTAATTAATATCAAATAGTAGAAACAATACTTATGTTTTTTTTTTTTTTTTTTTTTTTATTTTTTTAAACTTTTAACAATGTACACGGCTTCAATTTTAATTATGAATTTAATTAAAATCTAATTACTATACCTTCATCAAATTTTACAATATTCTTTCTTAAGAAATTTTACAAACAAGTTAAAAATCTAAAATTTAGACATTCACTTGTGCTTGTATATTGTTCTTTTATCTGATTAATACTAATGTGATAAGTTTATTTGTAGTTTGAATATTAGGAATCAAATTGAATTTCTTAGATTGGTTTCATCACGATCTCATTGATTTTGCATTATGATTTAATGCAATTCCCGGTTTTATAGATTGAAATCTTTACATTAATTTGCTTTATTGTAGTTGAAAAGTCAATAATAGTACGATCTGATTTTAACAACAACTCATAAAAGTTAGAATTTCTTATCAACCAATATAAATAAATTTATAATTAGAATTATTGAAGTAATACGGGCATATAATCAATAATTTATGTCTTCAATTGGCTTGAATGATCTTCGATTTATAAGTGTTTTTATAAAGTCATTATATAAATTTAAATTATTAAAAATAGATTGAGCAAAGATAATTCGGTTATCGACAAATTTAAGTAAATCTGTAATTGCATTCGTAATATTATGAAATATGATATTAATAAAGAAATAAAACAGTATATCTTCTTTTTTTTTTTATAAATAATTTGAAAAAAAATTTGACGATAATAGAAAACATATTATTTGATTTTTAAGTATCTTCACTATATTAGGAGAAAGGAATGTAGCATTATTAAATAATAATACTTTTTTCATAAATTACTAAAGTAAATTTTATTTCGAAACTATAATTTTGTTCAATGATATTGTATTCTTATTCATTAAATTATATCACACATACATTAATTGAATAGGATAAGATTATTCAAGGAAAGATGTATTTTCATGTGTATTAAAGTACCTACAAAAATCATACAATTATTTGTTAAAAATTGTCCATGTATAGCTATGTTGTTTTTAAATAATTGTAAATGTTATTTAAATTAATGTGTGATTGCTAGGAAAATTCAAATATATCTCATTTTGTCATTTAGAAGCTTTGTAAAACAAGACCTACGGAAACTTTAAACTCAACGACAACGTTTTCAAATCCATTAAAGGAACACTAAAATTTGCATTTTTTACTCGCATCAAACTTCGCGAAAGATATGCTAGCGAAAGCGCGACTCGCGCAAACTCTTGCAAAATTACATAAATTAATAGACACACAGGGACGTTACTGTTTCCATACTTTTTTAAGTTTTTTTTTTTTTTTTAATAAAGTTTCGATTGAGAAAGTCAATTGAAAATTCAAAGAAGGAACGAACTTTATTAGAGTAAGGTAATAAATCATTCGATATGTTCTGTTGAAAAGTTTTATTTGATACTTTCATCTAAATTACTAATTCTCTAAATGTCTGTAGGAAAGTTGTAAAATAATTTATCCGAAAAATTTCAATTAATATTTAAATTAATTTATTTTTATAAAATTTAAATTTTTTAAAAATTAGAATTAATTACGTAAATACTTATTTGTTTTGCTTTTATTATTTAAAAAAAATTGTTTCCATTTTCTAACCTGTGTGATTATTGTTTTATTATTATTTGATTTGTATATTTATTTGTCTTAAAAACTTGTATTTAATAATTTTTAAAAAATATAGTTATGAAACATTAGAAGTTTGAAAATTTCTCATACAATTAAGGTAAGAAAGAATTTCTTTTCGACTACTTGAACCACAAAATTTTAACTAATTATTTATTTCACTTTATTTAATTTTAGTTATATTTTGCACACTTAAAAATATATTTATGAAGATTATATTTTCAATTATCACATAATTTTCGACATATATATATATATATATATATATATATGTTTGAAATTTATAGTTTATAATTTTTAGAAATAAATAGAATTTTAATATACTACAAATTGATAGAAAAACAGTTTATTTTTAATAAATTTTTATTTCTCGTATATTGTAATTTCTAATACAGCAACGCACTTTTTTATTTACTTTATTTTTCAGTAAATTCAAACCTAAATGCATGAAGAAGTAAAAAGGTACATAGAGTATCGATATTATTTATTTATCGAATTAAAATAATTAATCTGCAGAGTCACACTCACGAATATCAGCGTAGCGTAACTCTCATTATGCCTAGGGAAGTTACTCGCGATAATTCAATTTTACTGCACGTAAAACTTATGCACTTAGGAGTGCTAATTTGAAAATAGTGGTAGAATGATTGAAACGACGTTCGATGTATTGTTGAGCGCTGTGTCCCGATAAACTATCTTCCCCCAATTCTCAGGCGTTGGAAGCATTGAGTTCCATTATGGGACCATTTATTGGGGCGAAAATAAATCGTCGAATAAGACTGAGAAAATTAAACGATATTCCCGATGAGCTATCAAAATTGTCATACGAATCTCCGGACTAAGCCTCTCATCCACTGTCCAGAAATCCTTCCGAGCACATCCTCGGCTCATCACCGCACAAAGGCTTAGCTCAGGATGTTTCGCCATCCCATTCACGCTCACCTCAAACGAGAGCTTAAAAGCGCAAAGTTCCTTAATCTATCTCCTCCCCCGCACAACGATAAACACGCGTCGGTGGTTAGCATTCACTTGCGCGAATGCGGCCGACCCTTCGCGGATTAGGGCAAACTAGGCGTAGCGACGAGGAAAATCTGGATGAAGATTATAGGTGAGGGTAACCCTCGTGTGTTCGCAGGTCCTCACACCCTCATCCGGCGTCGTGGACTTCGCCATAAGCATGCGGCCGGATTATCATCACGCCATCATCGATACGGTGCGCCACTACGGTTGGAAAAAAATCATCTACCTTTATGACTCGCATGACGGTAAGTGCCTATTTCTCTCCATCTTCCGTACAATTACTGACCAAATGAAAAAATGCCTGTCGAGCAGTTTTATTTATTTATCGCGACGTCTATTAATCGAGAAGGATACACGCTACAAAAAATATACAGTATACATTATAGTGATACTTTCAGTTTATTTCAATGCGATTGAGACTATCAATGGTAGCGAATAATGTGAGCTAACCGCAATTGCTTTTAATGATAAAGCCACTCCCTATATTATGTCGCAAGGTAAATTCTTCCTCCTCCACCTCCTCCCCCACCACCCCGGCATCGTTATCCATACCCATTTGCCAATCCTTTATAACCACTTTTTCGCTCACAGATTTCAACAAAGTTTTTCACAAACTTTGATTTCCTTTTATTGCATCGTTTCTTTGATTTCAAACCTGCGCATAGTTTTACATTTGTAAAAGAAATACGAATGTCAAGATGTTTGCAAACTTCATGGAACATTCAAACGAGTGCTTTAATATAAGCCGAGATACATATATTTCATTGTTTTGTCAACAAATACGAAGATTTTTTTCAAATGCAATAATAAAAAACAAATTGTATTTTGAAAAGAGAAGATTGAGGTATGCAAGTTTGATTCAAATTATTCGATATCTTCTTTCGGTATATTTATTTTTTAGACAAAAATGAAAATTCCAGTGTTGCAAGCATATGCACTTACATATGCAATGTTAAAATCGATTTTTACATAAATATCTCGTTCGTTTTTACTTAAAGTATTCAATATTCTAATATAATAAAGACATTTTAATTTTCCTTTATATTCATAAGTCTATATTCCAGTAGATAAATACTTTAAATAATAAATTAACTGCTTGAGACATATATTCACTATTTAATGCATTTTTATTGAAATTTTAATTACAATAACCTAACGTACATCGTCGATGACAATGAATGGAAAAGAGCATAATAACATTTATTCTATTATGTATTCGTATTTATACTTAATAGTCATTCCTCAATTTTATAAAGCCACTATCATTGCCAATAAAATCAAAAGATATAAGGCATGAAATACGAATTTTTATTTATACACATTCTGTAATTTTAGTGTCCGTAGGAAATGTGAAAAGTTTGGCAAGAGAATATTTAACTACATTGCAACTTTCAATTTCATGTGACTTGTAAAGAAAACACTAGCTCAGACGTACTATCCTTTAAGCTTAAATTATTTTAAATGCAAGAGAACTTTTATATTATTGCTCTATAACTGTTAAATTCTTCTTTACAAATTTATTTCACTACTAACTGATAGATTTATTCATATGTCATATTAAGTTGAAACAAATTTTACAAACAAAGGGTCATCTTCATCGACATTTAAACTATGTTTATATCAATTATTCTTGGCTTTAAAACTTTTTATCGCATTATAATATAAGTGTATTTTATTGAACATCGTTGAATGAAGATTCACTTGATTCTTCGTATATGACGCTTCAATAATGGCTTTCGCAGTTCTTTACAAGACTTTATGTAAAAATAATATGCATAGATATAAACTTAAATAATAAACATTAAACATGAGTAAGAAAATTAGTTTGAGTGTTTAATAAAATTTTAATTTATCACTCCTTCGATTAGTGTGAAAAGTGTACGCTTATGTATAATATAAAATCTAAACAGTTTATTGGATACACTGATTATAATTAATTAGATAACACGTTTGTTTTTATGCATTTGCTTATTTGGGATGCAATTAAGGAAGAAAATCAACGTATAAGAATATATAATCACGACATTGGATCATCGATAAGAAAACTATTGAAATGCTCGAATCGCTTCAGAGTGTGAAAACAATAATGCAAAACATATATGGATAGCGATTCATCGAGAGTCTTTATGGAAATTCTCCATTTGATTAATTCAATAATATCACGAACGATGGCACACTAGCCCTATTCCCCTCTCTTGCAAAAAAAAAAAATTCACGGAAATGATACCATGAGGTCGCTCCTCATCCTTAAACAGAGGCGTGTACTCGATGACAAAGCGGTCGCCAGGTCGGGTCGATCTCGTTTCCCGGGACGAATAATAACCAGCGCTTCCGGCGTCTTAAATGAGAAAATAGCGTTATCCATTAATATGAATCAGGGCGAGGACAGAGGAGAAGAAGGGAACAAGTAGTCTCTTATTCAACTCCTTTTCCTCTCTCGTTCTCTTACTCTGTTTTCCTCGATTCTATTCTTTCCATCTAATATTTTCACTTTAAATTCCGCAACATTACGAGCCGAAATTAGATAACTCCAAGTTCACATTCATGTTCACATCTACTGTAAATAATAAATTATTCTTTTACATCAATTCTGCTCTTTTCAACTAATTTATTTTAGAAAATTTACAATATTACGTTACTTCGTTTAATTTTTGATCTTTTACTCGTTTCGTATTATAAAACGCTCTTAACTTTCATATAAAACAGATTAAATAAAGAATTTACCATATATTTTTACATTTTGTAATAATGCCATCGTTATTATTTGAAAAATTTACTTTTTTTTTCTAAAAGAAATTATTAAAAATAGAAAAAAAAAATATAAACTAATCAATGTCATATTGACCATGATTGTATATAATATTGTTTATTTCAACGTGGTAATTGCTAAGATTAATTATTAATGCAAAAACAACATCGGCCTATTAAGCTTATTAAATATCAATTACGAATAATTTATACACAGAACTCAAATAAAATTAAATCATTTTTATAGTTTAACTGTAATGCATAAGAATAAGAATATGAAAGGAAGTAATAAAAAATTTTTATGATTATTTAGGATTATATTCAGAAAATACTAGTTGTGAAAACATTTCGTTATGGCGCATTTCATAAAATTATTTGATTATATAAGTTTATATAAATAATGGTTTATCAAACATTTTACATAATAAAGACCCCAATAGTTGAAAATTCATCATGAACATAACATGATTAATTAACAAATCTTTTAAACTTCTTGATATTTTAAAAATATTCACATTTACAATATTTATTATTAATAATTTCAATAATATTTATTAACTATACACGCTTAATTTTCAAAAGATTATAGTATAGATACTTAATGCTGACCAATGCATTTTTAAACTATAAGCCGCTAGTGTCTCTCCTTAAATCCCCATTTGTATTTTTAAATTTACATAAAAATAAAATCGCAAGAACCTTAAAAGACATTTTTACAATATATTTCAATGTACTATTGTTGGTATTGAATATTTCATGCAACAAAAATTTCTATTATAATTTCATATTCATTCGTCAATTTCATATTCATTTTATTTATGGAAGATTATTCTATTAATTTAGCAATTTTCATTATTTTATGAATTCGCAATTGTCAGAAGTATATCTTCTTGCAAAATTATTCCGAGTTTTAAACTAAGACTTCATTAGATTATTCTCTCTGTCTACAGTTATGTATTCAATGAGCTAAGATAAAGTGGAAAAGATAATGTATACATAAATGACTCACATTTCATGCATCTTAAACATATCTTATTAAACAATGAGATTTATATAAGTAAACAGTTTTTTTTTTTTTTTTTTTATAGTTTAACTGTATTATCTTTGCTTTCACGATAAAGCAATAAAGTTCGTATTGTAATCTTAAAATAATATTGTTTTCTTTTTTTTTTTTAAACATATATATATGTAAAACATTTTAAAATTTCAAGTTGCCATAATTTTTCAATATTAATTAATACGTTTTTCAAAATAATTATATTGATATTATTCGTCACATATTCAATAAGTATTTTGCAATTTTTTTACGCTATATATGAATATAATGTTATTATTATCAAAATTTGTAAATTCTAAACTAAAAACATGAAAAACCATGCAAAGTTCTATTATTATTGAACAAATATAACCTACGTTTAGTAAATACAAAACTTTTCATCAACCTTTACATATTATACTTTACAAGATAAAAGTCATATGTTATATGTGATAAGCCAAGCTTTGCAATTAATATTTATAGATTTATATTAATAGAAAAAATGTGATAAATTAAAACGCAATGCATTATTTTATACGATATTGTCGATTGATAGTCGTAATATTTATAGAATAATACGGAATATGCATATAGTCTATTACGATATAAAATAACTAAGAGTTCGTAAAATAATAAAAATTAGAATACGTAATATAAATTATTTATTTATGACAATATATTTTTATAACGATAGAACTTGTTTTCCCATCAGATCGACTGATAAATTTTATTAATCTGGCAGTAAAATATTCTGAAGGATATAATTATGGAATAAAAATTATTACATAATAATTGCATGACTTGAAATAAATGAGAATCAATTTGATGAATCAATAATGAAAATGAAATAGAACATTATATGTATAATTTTTTCTTCGATATAATTTCTTCGCTAAAATTAATAAAAACATTTGTCGCTGAAAATTGATTACTTACAAACATTCTTAGGTAACGCTTTATCATTATACAAAATTTTTGTCTGAAAACGAGATAAAATTCGGCGTATTTAAAGAGTAATTATGTATTGTATGAACGAAAAGAGATTTATGATAAATAATTGTAAGCATCTGTTAATTGACGTCCGAGAGATATGATTTGAAGGATCGCGAGCATGTCCGGTATTTTGTGGAAAGGGAGAATTTTATCAGCCGATTAAAGCAAATGGACATATCATGTGAGACAAGGAACTCTAATAAGATAGAATAGACGCGCGAGTGAGATGAAGAAGTGGTGCACGGGAAATTAAATGAAAAGATGGGAAAAGGCGTAGATGGAAGGAGAAAGCAACGTACCGACTCTCTGAATAAGTGGCGCTAGGAGTTGGTGTTGCGCTTACAGTAACCCAGCGGTCAGTTTTGCGCTCGTTAATATTGTTTCGTCGTCCGACCTTGTCTTAACGACGAAAGTCGAGCGCGAATGCCGGGATCGCGCGGATCGCGGGAAGTTTCGCGGGAGTCCATC